CTTCGTCTTTGATAACATTAACATAAAAGATATACATTAACATAAAAGATATTATATATTAACATAAAAGCGCGCATTTGAGCGGACCTATGGCGTTCGTGAATTGTTGAGAGACCTTCGTGAACTTGTATAGGCGCTACCGTTTAAAGTGTCATAAATATGTCGCACAAAAGTAAGAAGAAAAGACCGTCAAGCCTGTTCGACTTAGATAACATAAAAGCGAGCATACAAGCGAAAGCGTCCCGGACCGATCGCGTTTGTGAATTGTTGAGAGGCCTTCGCGAAGTTGATGTAAATGATTTAATTTCGAATGAGTATGACCTTGACGAACATGATATTATTACTATTCTGACGAGCAAAATTTCCGTTCAAACGTTGAATTATCTGCGCAAGGCACTGCAGCATGTTCCTACAAACATCACTCGTGTCATTGATAAAACACCAATGCGGTCAGCCATCATATTCAAAGTTTTTACTAGCCTCCAATCGACAGCAATGGGCACGTTCATACATCCGACTGTGGAAGAACTTGAAACGTACGGCAAGATACTTGAAACTCGCTGTCCATTGTTTATGTCCGTTGATACAGATCTTTCAAACCAAGACAGCTTGTTGGACAAGTATCTCACTCCACCGGTTTCTGTTTGTATACGATGCGACAAGCGCTTGTCCATGCGCAACAATCCGTCCAGAGCCGTGCTATTTACGTTAAATGGTCCTGTTCCATGCTCGAAGTTTACCCTGGAATGCAGGAATTGCTCAATACATTTTGGAGTATGCAACTACACCGACAGGTCTGGCACTTGCTTTTATCCTCTCAATTTCGATTTGGATTTGATAGAGGTCAGCAATGTTACATATTTCCATCGCGATTTATATCAGTGGATGCCATCTCTCAGGTAAGATTCGCGTTCTGTGAAATAATATTTGGGAATCTAATATATTTATTAAATATTTTACATTAGATCTGGACATTTATCAAAAAACTTACCAATTGATATAGTGAAGTCACAGATATTAATAAATTTTACTAGTAAAACCTTTTGAATATTTTGAAGTACTTAGTATAAACGAATAACTTTTAAGTTAAATTATTTTGCTTTATTTTATATAGTAACCATTGTTGGGTGTAATATTTGGGAATCTAATATATTTATTAAATAATTTACATTAGAGCTGGACATTTATCAAAAAACTTACCAATTGATATAGTGAAGTCACAGATATTAATAAATTTTAAAACCTTTTGAATATTTTGAAGTACTTATAAACGAATAACTTTTAAGTTAAATTATTTTGCTTTATTTTATATAGTAACCATTGTTGGGTGTCATTCAGTGGATTTGCTGAAGCTTATAATGAAATAAATGAGAAACAAATTCAAACATATGCCAACTCATTGAAAGGTTTGTTTGCTACTTTGCTATTAATACAGTAATAGTGATGCAGAGTTTGTGAGCTCCTGTTTTGAAGTTTGAAAGCTTTTTTCTTTTCAAAAAATCTGAAACATAAAATTATAATTGAAAGGCAACTTGTGGCCAATATATTCGTGTTTTATTTTGCAAAAGAATAGACAGAGAATGTCATGAATTATGGATAAATGCATTTTAATTTATGCAAACAAAATTTACTAGTAATACATAAATTGAAGTATTTGTGTCAATTTTTGTATCGACTAAAATTCTTGGTTTCGGAATGACGGACTGGTATTGTACCAAACAAAAAAAGCTGGTACCGCCCATCTCTACACTGAACTATACAAACAGTTTTAAACTCCTATTATAGATTCACCTATATTGGAAGGAGATGCTGATGATAGCGATAAAGGTAGGGATTTACTGCTCTGGCATTTAAAGGGGCATTGTCTGTCATGGGAGTGTCATCGATTTTGACCATAGACAGATTTTCTGGGGGGGGGGGTGTGCACCACCCAAAAATATTTTGCAGCACCCCGCCAAAGTTTTTCTATCCAACCTAGAGAAATTGGCAACCCCCTAAAAACAAGGATTTTGAACTAAATAAGACCAAAAATCTGGAAATTTTTATCGCACCTGTGGCCCAGCGACTCCGGTGCAGCACCCCAACAGGCTGAGCTACAGAGGCCAGTTGTTGAGCACTAACCACAAGTTCATGTATATATAATAGGGTACTGCCATGTACAGGTTAGGGGTAATTTTCAAGACTTTGTTTGCATCTCAGATGATTGAGATTGCAGGCCTTAAAATATCGGTTGGTCACATACATTGTCCGACCCATTCATGAAATTGTCTGATGTAGAGAGGAAACCACCGGACATTTTGTCTGACCTAACTGAAACTGAGGTTATTGTTTGTCCGACCTAAGTGTATTTGTGTCTGACCTAACTGTAGCTTTGTCCATTGTAAATCAAAATGTACCTATAGCCCAGGACTAGACGCTTGTATGTTAAATGGAAAATCAGAGTACTATTGTATAAAAAGTGAACTGGAAATGTTTTAACATAGTTGAGGGCGGGGCTGTGAGCGAAATGGTGAAGTGGAAAACGAGCTGAAGTTGTCAAAGTGTTTTTAATACTGCTGTTCTGGAAAGCAAGTTAATTTTGGCTTGGAAATAAGTATGAAAGAAACAAATTTTTTAATATCTTCACAACATTTGCCGTTCAAAATTATTTAATACATTGTGCTGATATTCATTTGTGTCATTCAGATGTATTTCCAGGCACGGATTTTCTGTGTGTGTGTGGGGGCGCACCCCCAGAAATGATTTGCACCCCCCCCCCAAAGGCATTTGGCACCCCCGCAAATTATATTTTGATTTGATAGTTTTATATTTGATTATTCTTACTACTATAAATTTGTAAAATTACCAATATTATGGTCTCAGATCTCGCCATGCAGGCCTAGAAAACAAATTTTGTTAAACTTTTTCCTTGGCCTTTCCGGGCGTTGCCACCATGCCCTGGCCAAAGCAAGCAGCAGCACCCCCCAGATATTTATCTACCCCCCCCTGAACGAAAATATGAAAATCTGTCTCTGTGTATTTCCGAGTCAAAACTGAACTGAAGGTCATCGGACATATGTCCAACCTAAACTCAATGTCATCGGACATTTTGTCAGACGGTCCTGTAAAAGACATTTTAAGGCCTGGATATTGGGCGAGGATTGAGATGGATTGTAAATGATATGTTGTTAATTGTTGGCAGACACTTTTTCAAGTTTAGGTCAATATGTAATAGACTTAGTTTTGTATATCATAACTATAAAACCTACAGTATTTACAATGTTTATTTTCAAATTTGCAGTTCAGATTTGAATAAAGTACATTTTTGGTCAAAAATTGGTGACACTGCAACTTTAAGACAGAGTAAAATACTAAAATGCTAAAATTAGTTCTGTAACATGATTAGAAGTAACTGTAAATCAGCAGCTATGTAGTAATATAGTTTTTCTTGTAGTATTCTAACACATTGAAAAATGTCTGGAAATAATGTTGAAAGTAGACCATTTAAAACTTGATTTTCAATTTGTAGGCATTTTACCAGGGGAGATGTCCGCAAACGCAATCGCAAAGTGCTTTTGGCAACGTGAAACTGAGCTGGAACTACTTTCGCATGGTTTGCGGGAAACATGGGTTTTCATGGCTGCAAAGTCTGGGCAATTTACGGGTACAACTGATGATGTCACGGAATACATTGACAAGAAACGCTCTGAAGAGCTTTATTTGCACAATTGCTCAGCTCATTGCAGAGAAAAGGGTATGTTACATGCCTCGAATTTCCCTGAAATTAATCGACAGCAATGGGGTTAAAAATTGCCGTAGAACGTAACAGCTGGCTACGTGCAATTTTGGCAGTTTCCACGACATTTTTCAAACTTAATTTTATTGTTACTTTGGATTTTTGACAAGCTACAAACATACGTATTTATTTAGTGTTCTTTTTGCAAAGAAAACTGAGACTAGAATAGTGATTTACACACGATTTGATCAATATCTGAATTCAAGTATCAAAATAGTAATGCACAGTGAATAGTATAAAAATTGCACTATACGGTAAAAAATTGCCGTCGTTGCCGCAATGATCCACAACGTACATTTTGTTCTCCCTCTACGGCAATTGCCGCGATAAAATTCGAGCCCTGGTATGTTATGTGGATTTGTCTCATCCCCCTGTATCCTAATCTGTGTATTATATCGCCAGAATAATTATGATGACTTATATATTGTCTAAATAGTTTCTATGTAATTACTGTACATTCCTTGTAATTTACATTGATGTTCACGATTTTTAAATATTTATTTTGTTTGTAAATAACAATGTAGGATGTGGTCAGCTCTATGTTGCAGATGGGAACTGGAAATTAAGATATGCCCATTGCATGTGGAAAGTCCCTATTGAGTTGGTTGGCTTTGGTAAAGTAAATTACCCAAGTATTTTTTTTTTTGTTTTTTTTTTTGTTATTTATTTGATTTTGCCCAATAATATTTATTTATTTACATGAAAATTCTAATATTAAGGAAGAAGAGGGCTAGGAGTCTATTTGAAACCATTTGGCTTTTTTACTTAGACCCCTATAAATATATTTACAATTGTTTTTTAATTAATTAAGTAAACCAGTTCAAAATCAAATTATTACAGTAGTCAATTTTGCGAATATATACGGTATATTATAATAATACAATTACAATTTGATATTCATAGTAATCAATAATCATAGAAATAAGCGTGTGGTGATTTGTTGTGCCCTATAGTTTGATAGAGTTTATAAACTTCCGGTAGTTAATTAGATATGAAGAAAGTGTTTCTTTACCTCTCGTTTGAAGACAAATGTGATTTTATTTGTTTGAAGTCTTTTGCAAGACAGTTCCAAATTTCGATTCCTTTGTTTGCTAGGGAATGTTTTGAGTAATTTGTTCTTTTGTAAGACTTGTGAAGGAGCGATGCATTTCTGGTATTGTGATGATGTATCTCGTTGTTGGATACAAAATAATTACAAAAAATGTCTGGTAAATTTTGTACTTTGTAGTATCTGAACATAAATAAACTAGTTAAATACTCATTTATTTTGTAGATGTTGAGTATCTTAAGTTTCTTAAATATCGGATCAGTGTGCTCAAAATAAGAACTAAACGTTATCAATCTTACAAGTTTCTTTTGAATGGTAAAAAGTTTTTGAATGGTGAAAAGTTTTTGAATACGTGTCTTATACGTATTCCCCCAAATAAGGTTACCATAGATAAGATATGGATAGACTAATGCATAATAAATTAGTTTTAGAGAATTAATATTTGTGAAGTATCGGATTTTGGATATGTCCATTGACGCCAAAACGAGGTCAAATTGAGTATATGTCCATTGACGCCAAAACGAGGTCATGCGTTTTGTGAAAAGCATTGTAAAAATGCTCAAACACAGGGATATCCAACAAAACTGAGGGAATTTCTCAAAAGATGTGGTGTGTCAGACAGGAATGTTGAAGAAGGTTGGTCTAAAACCTGTATATAAACTAATTTATTGCTTAGAGATAATATACAGTCCAATTTGCATATAATGCTCTAAGTTTTGCAATTGACCCTTAGTGTAATTTATTACTTTATTATTTTACCAATTACCTTTTTACCTTACCTTACTCTTAACTTCACTGCAAAGTTGAGGAGTACAGTAACATTGTACGAATTTATGATGTAGCAATCACTGAATCAGCAATGAAGGGAGGGACTTGGTTTTGGAGCATTACCCTAATCATTAATGGTCTCATTTGCACATGACCTGCTGCTGCCATGTATGTTTAATTGTTTACAATAGATCTGACTTAATTGACTTGAATAATACTGCATATGAAGACCTAATATGTGTTTTGAGATGTAAGTTATAATGCTTGATAACAATAACACTAACAACAAAACAAAGTAAACAACACATCATTTGCAAATTTTACACAAAGGCCACTGAAAAATGTAAAAAATTGCAACTGACAATGAACTGTAAATTTATCTGAAAGTGTAATTCTTATAATGCACTAGTCAATATTAATCCCAGTCAATGAATAGTAGGCTAACTTTTTACTGTGATTCATGTACAGGTATCTAATATTTGCTATGTATTTTAGAATTGATTGAAATGTCATCACAGCCCATGTTATCAGGTAGATTTTTCAAAATATTTCATACTGCACATGTAATTTCATGTTTATTCTTGTCCATTGCCATTGCATTCAGCATCTTGCTATGGAAATGACATTTATCCAACATTGTGGAAACGTTAATGACAACGACAATGTCTTACCATTTTGATTTAGTTGTGTGGAGTATTCATTCTACTTTAACCCATTTACTTTGTCTAACACCAGACGATTTTACTCATGAGCGATAGAGTACTAGCTGCCACTAAATGGGTTAATTAAGGTCTTAGATGTTATGCCTTACAGCTAGCTTTGCTGTTCCTTTCAGATAAATCTTTTGAAGCAATCAACAATGGTCTTGATGAAATTTCACAGGCTAGCCAAAATGAGAATTCTGCAAATGCATCTACTTTCCAAGGTAAAAATTAATGTAGCCAACAAATTTTAATTTCAGGTTAACATCTCTTGGTTGGGGGTGATTAAAAAAGGTGGATCTGAATCAATAGCCTATATTTTACTGAGTGTTAATGCACCTATCAATGTTAATCCCCTGAGGGGGGGGGGGCATACGTGGGGCATTTGATTTTTCGAACAAATAGTCAAAGGAATGAAAGTGTTAATTTGAACAAAACAAACGAAACAGAGACAGAACCAAACCTAACCCAATTAATTATAACGTCACGTTTCAAACAGAAACAAACCGGTAAAATAGTTTAGGCTACTCTATACAATGTATATACCCTAACATAAATGGTAGTAATTACAAAATGTACCTGATCAGATGATAAGCCCTATATTTTTAATATAAACGATATTTGTTGTTTAGGAACGTCCGAGTTCCTTTTGAAAAATCCCGAGTTTGTTGAAAATCAGAACGTGGAAAGTGGAATAGTATGTAACAAGGACACTGGAGGGTTGAAGACGTTGCAATGTTGGTCACGAGGAATATTTTTCATTGTCAGTGCAGGTGGTCATATTGATTATTGGCAACCGCTGTACAGGTAACTCGCCTATGCAATTGATAGTAATTTTGGCATTTCCTATTCTCCTTGTACCACATATATACTAAATAGAGAATAACTTTTTAGGTCAGAATCTCCCACACAGGCATTTCTCATAACCGTTCTTTGGCTGCATGGTAAATTTAAACGTTTAAAAGATGTTGGTCATAGCGATGAAAGCATTATTCAAACAATGTCATCAGTTACCCTTGCATATGATAACATGTGCCATTTAGATGGCCTTTTGGTGTCAAAAAGGAATCTCCCCCTTCCTAGGCCCTTTGACCAAGCATGGAAATGTATTGGAAAAGTGATTGATAGGTTGCACCTCCGAAACCATGTTGATACAAAGTGTCAAAAGCTGTACAACCCAGATGATAAAGTGCCAAAAGGTTTCAACACAATGGCGTGTGAGCAAACTTTTATCTGGGCCAGTCGGTTCAAGAAAGTCATGTGTGCTATGCCACATCTTCACCAGTTCTTTTTCCTACACAGACTTGTTCAGTACAGAAACAAGTACACTGAGAAATGCCATTTACACCGCAAAACACCAGTTTTGCCAAAGAAATAGAGTTTCTATTAATGTCTATAGTGCATGTAACAATTACTAATATGGTTTTTGGGCATGCAGGATTGCAGGGTGTATAGAAAAGTACATTACTGCCATGAACGCATGAAAGTATATTACTACCAATCTGCCATGAACGCATTGTTAATGTGACGAACGGATTAGCCCCGTCAAATTACTGCAATAGGTTATGGCTAATTTGAAAGGTGTACTTTTTTATACACCCTAGGCCTGCATAGCGTAAAAATGAATTAATTGTACCTATATTAGCTTTAGACATTGAAACGTTCCTGTAGCTTAGCAAGTATTAAATCGAATATTATTCAAGTGCTATATTATTAAAAGTAGCAGAGTTCGAAATAACGGTTCGTGATTCGTGAATCACGAATCAATTTTCATTTTTCATGAACCCAATTTCATAGAAATTGATCAAAATCACGAATCAAAAGTCTCTCAAATGGATAAAAATATACAATAATAAATTCAGTTCTTTGTAAATGTGATGAAGGATCATATATTCTGAAGATATTGTTGTTAGATTGTACTTAAAAACGATTATATATTTCTTTGCGAGTTTGCGATGTATATTATATTTTTGAAAATTGCAGTGCTTCCACTTTTTAACTTCCAATTAGAGAAAATTCCTTGAAAATTCCTTAAAATTTCCTTAAAATAAAAAAATTAATTCACGAACCATTTTTTCAGAATTAATTCGAACCCGGAGTAGATTTTTTCAATGTCACATAACATACGCTCAAAACTCGATATGAGTTCACAGGCGGCCCAATCTCTGAATGTCCTAAATGTTTGACAAGAAAGTTATTTTGAGTTGTACGCCAAAATGATTTAGGTTTTGAACATTACGTGACATTGAAATTGTTATTTATCAAATTTATGTACAATAGTTAATATCTAAATAATTTATCTAAAATATACTGCAGTGGTTTTAACACATCACCGTAGCTGTCTAAATATTCTAATGACTATCAGGTGTCGTACAACCATCACACAGGAAAGTTTTCTGTTTCTTTAACGCTGCAGTGTAGTTGAGGCCAACGCAATTGCAATGTACCCATTGTGCACATGCATTGCACTGGATCATGCCAGTCTTTTTCTTCTTGTTGCAAACATTGCAATTATTTAAATTTTTTGATTGGCCATCATTGTGTCTCTTGGATGACCACTGCGTTGCATCTAAATAAAAGGAGAAGAGGAAAGAAACCAATTTTTATATGGGTATAAAAATATATCTTCGCTCTTGTCACTCATAACTCACTATAAAGAAATATGACATTAATTTATATAGCAGCAGACACAAGTATACAGAGATGACGAAAACGTTACATGTTGCATATTATCTTTTTTATACTGGACATCTCTTTCAGTTTTAAACTGTTCCCCTTAGAGATCCAGTAAGGGTCATCCCTCAAAAGATCTGATCCTCGGAACGCTAATTTGATTTAACTCATTAACGCGCAAGCTGTTACAATGTTTCTACCCGCCTAAGGCGCAAGCAATATGGCGAATATGTGATTGAATTCAAGAGCTTTCACCAAAATGGCAATATCTCAGAAACAGTTGCATAAAAAAATCTGATCTTTTCAACCAAACATTAGTGATATATGATTGACCAAATTTAGTTTAAATGACTTGCATACCTACATATATCATTAGTTTTTTCAATGAGAATTTTTATTTGTAAAGCAGTGACACTTTGTTTTTCATGTCACTCATCACCTAAAGGGGCAATATCTCCATAAATTTATATAAAAACAAAAAAAAAATCATTTACTAAATTAGTACATATCTATATTATAACCAATTTTCATCTTTTGGGATATGAATTAGAAAACGATCAAAAATTATAAAAAATACTCATTTGCTTTTTTGGGCAAGATATTTACAACACGAAATTTAGAACAGTAACTAAGTGTTCAAATTCAACAAAATGTGCAAGCCAAAACACAGTGCTTGTTCATCTTTGGAGTTTTTAATTACCTCAAATATATTTAAAAGGACATATGGTACTAGAATTTATTTATTTTCAATATAAACCAAGGATGGGAAGGTGAGAAAATAGGAATTTTCTGAGGTGTTTTTAACACAGACAATGACAGCCGACATTTTCAAAGGCAAATTGCGGTGACAAAACCAAAAGTTATTCACTTCTCTACTCAAAGCACTGAAAAACACCATAAAGAGAAAAACATTTTAAACATACATCAGGTAAGCCTTTTAGCTCAATTTTCTCATGTTTCTGTTTGGAAAGAAACGGTTTTTAGCCAAAATTATTTTGCGCGCCAATGTAGGCTGCTATAAAATGTCAGACACGCGTTCTCTTTTGAAGTCTGGCTCTGAAAAACAATCGCTTTTTTTAGTTTGAAATAAGCTTTCATAAGGACTAATTGTGTAGAAATGTTATCTGTATGCTCAAATGAAAAAGATAACCTAATAGTCAGGTATTCAACATAGCTATAAAAGGGTGAAATAAGGACTTTCATCTTTGGTTGTTTGTCAGACATGAGAAACCACATTAGTGCCATTTTGTCGCTCGTGCTATTTTATAAAATAAACACCTCAAAACCATAAACTTTTAGTTCAGAAAATAACAAAGTTTCCCATACACATTAGTAAAAATGTTCTAGTGAAGCGATTTCATGATAAATAAGTGAGCTATGGGCCCAAAAGAACTGCTAAACTATGTTTTTGTTAGGACTTCAATTTCATAGGCTTCCCGCAAAGGAAGCCATTTCAGAGAGAAGCGACATTTTGCAAGCAACGGTCGCGACCTATTTTTGATAACTTTTCCTTCTGATTCAACGTGTAGTTACTAGAAAATGAGGTTGCATCAACATTATTATCTGCTTTATCGATTTAAAGTTTTATGGGGATATAAAACCCAATAGAAAAAGCGTTTTAAAAGCTTTAGAACTCAAGTGCAGATT